TATAACTTCGTATANCACCGCGGCTGATCATGAAAAAAAGACGTTTGGGAACCGCCGATCTGTAACAGCCTCACATCTCGGACGCTTTTAGACGCTAATGCATATCACGTGACGGAAGTATAATCTCTAACTGCACTATCATCGTCCTGAACGCGTCGGACGCGTTGATAACGATCGAAACTCGGCTAGAGGTACTATATAATACACGAACCCCCGAGCAACAGTACAATAATAATAACGATAATAATACAATATTTGTGTACACTCACTCGGCGATCGTTTAGAGTACGATATGCGCGCAGAAATTCCGGACATTTATATTGGTTGACCATTCGCGAATATATTAACGTCAGACCCGAGGTACTGTATGTGTACGTAGTAGTATATACTACTATATATATATATACGTTCTCCTTTTCTCCGCGCTTTCTTTTCTTTTCGTTTTCTGCAGGTTTTTCTCGGTTCCCCCACCCACCCGCCACCACCACCACCATCGCCATTCTTCGGCGCGTATACCCGGGAAACTCCATTATTTATCAACCCCGACAAACCCCCGTCGATTCGCACGCGAGACGTTTTCCGATTTATATTTCACAATGAACTTTAAACATCCGACAACTCTGCGCTGCGACGAGTACGTGCCCGCGTAGACAATTCGCAAAAGAGATCATTTGCGACAAATCGTTACTGCGAGACAACAGCGGATTATAATAATAATAATACAGTATACGCAGCTATATACTAACCTGACCTGAAATATATTAAAACCGTACAAAAATCAATTCTCCCTAGATTTTCGGTATTTATTTACTACCGTGAAAATATATCGTGTGTGAAATCGTTATAAAAGAAGACGATAAAAAATGTTTCAACAATGTTTTAACTATCTACGTTACAATAAAACCGCACACGTCATTATTTCGGGTTAATGTGATGTTTATTACGCACAGCATATACATGTATAGTTTTACGATTGCATTATTTTTAACTTTACGAAACTATAAACTATATAATCGGGTTACACTCGCAAGTTAGTTCGCAAACCCAATTAAAACTAAATACGTCAATTTCTAACATTGCAGTATACTACCACACATATATAGTTGATCGAAATAAATAAACTCGTGTCATCTCACAAGTGTTAACGGAATTTACCAGCTTCTTATATCATATTTTTATTAATAAAAAAAAAATTATACGAATTCCGGTTCATTCTGTGTATATAAAATAACAATATCCACTTCAAGGAATACATTTTACCAACAAATGAATTGTACCGGAAATATTGTTCAACGATAAATCATTTCTGATGAAATGTGATTCTGATCGACATTTTGGTAAACGCGTTTTGAAGTGACTTTTATAACTTTTATTTACATGAAACCAAATAAGAACTAAAATAACTCGAAAATATTAAATACGTATAAATAACTAAAAAATCAATACAATATTTTAACAATTTTACCGCTTCAAGAAATATCTACTTTTCTCTGAATATTTCAGATTTCTTGATTATTGTTTATCAAATTACAACAATAAATAAAATAAAAAAACGAAATAGAAACAGAGCTTTACGGAAATAAGCTTCTTGATTTTCTAAGTTTTTCCCGATTCTTCTCAATTTGAAACAAGATTTCTGATAAAAAAAAAAAAAAACCTAATATAATAAAACGTTTACTTTCATAAATTTATCCTGATTTTAGGTTTTTTTTTCTAGGTTTTTCAAACCATAATAAAAACTATTAAATGCATAATACTACAAAATGTTCTTTTGTCATTTTTTGGTTGGAGCAAAATTTCTAATAGAAAAACTATTCACAGACAGAAAAAATCAAAAAATGAATACCAGACATCATAGTAAAATTAATAAATTCCTCGCTCTACTCAGGATCTAGAAAAATGTCATTTTCATTATTTTAAACCAGGCGATATCATGAGAAATTTTCGTTTGCACTAAAACGGAACGAGCAACCTCGTGTATTAATTAGAAGAAAATTGCTATTTCTCTCAGAGAGAACATTTTTAATTTTATAATAATTGTTTTGAAAGGTATGAAGATACGCGTTAATTGAATAGAAATTTGAATCAAGAATCACTACGTGAAAGAGATTCCTTCATAATACTTCGGCAGAAGAACGTGCATCAGAAAAGTGGAAATAGGATCCCAATTTAATTTATTCCCCCTATATTCATTAGACATTATTATTTCTTTATTAATTTGGAAATTTTACATTTTATTGTAAAAAAAAAATCAAGAAATTTTAACAAAGACCGTTTTGTATTTTACTTGTTCCTCGGAACGTCATTTTAACCTCGTGCTGCTTTTACAAACGTAGATGCCCTTTGGTAAAATTTTTTCGTTCAAACACTTTTATTTCCTATAATTTAATTCAAACAATAATATTATTATGATATTCACATGTTTGTTTGATTGCGATCTACAGTTTAAAGAATCATAACAACCTTTCGGAATGTAGGCGCAGAGTAATCCATTTATCATGAACCACCTTTTTTTTTTTTTTTTTTTTTATCATTATTGAATTGTTTAAACATAATTTTAACACTGTTTACAAATCATCCCGAAATGGATAAAACGGATTTATCCGGTCTAAATTCTAAACACGTAAACACATAAACGGTAAACCCGAATTTAGTGTTATGCATATCAAAATTTTCGGAAAAATATTCTGTGTTCGAATTTGTATTAAAAATGGGAAGGATAGTTACCATTCGAAAACCAGATGGGTATGCTCGGCTACCAAGTTTCGAACATCAAAAATCAAATTCACTTAAAATCCTTCGTTTGTTCGTGACAAACGGACATATGGCCTGTTTGGGCAAATACCATTTTCCCCGGTCGATAGCAAACATCGTGCAGAGGGGAAAACAACTTTTGAAATTTGAATTTATTATCGGTAAGAATATAATGCCGACAGATCGAGGGACTCCGGACCGCGATATTTGAGAATACAGGCTCTTCTCCGTAGCTACACCGTAATATGATCTACCCGAGACGTGGCTTTATTCCTTTCACCAACCCCACCCCCTTTTATCGTATGGTTAAATTGTTTAGAACAGTCACTGGAGGCTCGAAGCGGTTTCGCGTTCGGACTTTGGACGAGATTTGCGCGTTTCGAATTCAGCGTACCTACATACGTATTCGCGGAATACATTTCGTAAATGAAATCCGGTTATAGGACTTGTTAGAAAAAAAAAAAAAAACACGCCTGACGTAGTACGATAAGTTTTTAAACTTCACGCACGCTTCGCGCCGCGCGTCAAATTTAATATTGTAAACAAAACGGTCCGGGGGCGGTGTACCGCGCGCGCGCCCGTATCGATAATTTCTATACTCGTCGGCGCATTACCATTCCGTTTTCATTACACGGCCCGCTATCCGCTCGCGTGTTGTTACTGTTATTATTATTATTGTTTTCGACATGTGGCGCCGTTCGGTACACGCGCGCGCGTGTACCGTTAAACGCCGCCCCGGTTATTATCCACGGCGAAAAGTTTCGCACCGGACCGCGCGGCGCAAAGTTGCTGTGCGGCGTGCGGACGGCCGTGCACACATTACGCGTGCGTCACATGGGAAAGGGGGTGGGGGCGGGGGACGGTCGGACAGAAAAGGGCGAGGTAACGCGCGTATACGAAAGTTCGATAAGCGTTCGCTTCTTGGACATGCAGTTCGGGAACGAATCTATCAGTGCGCCGAATGTTCGAGTGAGCGGAGCGACGGGAACAAGACGGAATAATGATTCGGCGCGCGCCCCGCGATAAATCAATCCCGGGGCCCGTGCGCGTGTAAAACTTGTAAATTCTTTGGAACGCTTTCCACCGCCGCCGCCGGTTATATTGGCCAGTGCGAAACTTTAGCCTGCGGAAACTTTCACCCCTACCCCCGCTCGCTGATCGCCCGCCGACGGTCGTCTTCGACGCGCACTTTTATCAATATTTCGTCCGATTCTCTACTACTACTACTACTATTGCTATACGCCGACCCTCCCCCGAAGGTATAGGATCTTTTACAGGGGGCCTTTTGGAAAGTTTTTCGTTCGGCAGACACGTTATATCGTCACCATCGGTCGACAACGCGGAACAGGGGGGGAGGGGGAGGTGGAGAAAACCGCCGAATAATCCGAGGATATATTTCGCCTTGGACATTTTTAAAATCGCCTCGAACGTGAACGCGGTGGCAAAAAAAAAAATAATAATGAAAGAACGAGAAAGATTTAAACGTTTCACATCTGCTGTTATATTCGCGTTGAATGTACGAACAAAGGCCGATCAGCGGCGCCCAAACTTTCCTTCGAGCGTAGCATTTGTTATACATCGTATTTCGAGTGGATGGGCGTCCCCGGTAATTGGGATTCGGGACTTTCGGGTAGTGTGGGTATAAACATTCAAAAGTTATACATTTTAATTTTCAGGTAGTACAATTTCTACGTACAAAAGGTTTTGAGGCGGACAGTGGTTGTTGTAAATTTCAGATTCTGTTACACCACACGAATATAGTTTAGGCGCCGCTGAAGCCAATACTGTAGTTGTTGAATGCAACGCCACTGGTTTAGGATGGAATTTGGAAACGGGAGTGTACAAATAGTAAACCGATTTATATTATCCGTATACGAAAAAACGGTATAACCCGGAAACGGACTTTAATTATACGAACAAATTACTAGTTTTCCCGTTTTTCGAGGAAAATCAAAAAACGACATTAGGCACCGCGAAAAGATACAGCAGCACTGATGTGTGGGTGATTATCTCTTACACAAATGGGTAGTGCAGGAGTGCCCTAGAGCTAAATTTGAAGGAGGAATCGAAAACATTCATAGGTGTAATGCCGAAACGACACACTGAATGCGCGAGCTGAATGTTCGTCTACGGTCCCCCTGTTCTAATAATAATAATATACAATAAAAATTACACTACAATCGATAACGGATCGCCGTGCCGTAGGTATTGATTTCGGACGATGCTGTTTTCAAAACATTTATTGAATCCCCATCTCACCGTTTGAATACAATAAGTTTTTTTTACCTAAATAAAATACGAAACCTTACGACGATCCGCCGCCGGGAAAAACGGATGGGGGGAGGGCGGGGGAAAATAAAGAAACGACACGTAATCCTATACGATTTAATTTATAAGAGGTTCTCTCAGAGCGTGGGTCAAGGGCGGGGTCCGGGGGTGGAGGTGAAGCGGCCGGGGACGTTTCGACCCGTAAACGCCGGTCTCCGTTCGCCGGGGTTAATTTCCTGTGACACGCCGAGGCTATACGGCCGGCCGGCCCGTCCCTATACACGAATTATGGTACTGCGGCGGTTGATCCCGTCGCGCGGCCCCCGGAAACGGCGGACTCTGCGTGAGTAAAAGCCGCTGGGTACGTGCGCGCGCGACGACCCGAAGCCGCGGTCCTCGGGCCGCGTACGCCGGGGACGGTTCGGCGTTTTCCGAAATAACGATACCGTCCGGTTTATCGGAATCGCCGAAAGCCCGCGTCGGGCACGCACGCGCGGCCGGTACATGTTATTGCCGTTATTGCCGTTATTGTTATTGTCGTCGTTATTGCCGTCGGCCGGCGCGCGGGGACCGACGGTAATAAATACTCGTCGGGAGCGCGGCCCGAACGCACGCTGCCGTCGGCCCCGGACGCCTAACCGACAATCGCCTACTCCGTCGGCCGCGGATGTGCGCGCGAGGCTTTCCGGTTCGTTAACCGCGCTGCGCGGCCCGTACACGAAATGCCGTACACCCGCGTACACCCAGGCGCCCGGCACACACGGCACCACGCGACGTGTCCTTTATTTAACAAGGATCGGCGCACCGGGGGGCTTATGCTCGTGCGTGAAATATCGGCGGCGGACGGAACCGGCTGTGGTTTTTACCGTCGGCCGACAGTATCGAAATGTAACGACCGAGACCGATTCATCGGTTGATTAGCTTGATTAGCGCTCGCGCCGTGCGTATTTCTTATCGGACTGTTATCGGTGGCGATTCGATTGCGCGACTAAAAAAGCGCGCGTAACGTATTCTCGAACACTCGTTATCTTATCGAAATACGCGAGTATTTATACGCACTGCGATTTGACCGTTATTAAATATGAGACTGTTCGCAATCAAAATAATAACAACAGAGGTGGCCAAAAGTCGCGCAACGCCTACCGTCTTAACCAACCGAGTATATTTTCGAACGAATAGAATATATTCTTATCTATAGAATGAACTACTCGATAGTCTAATTGTTTCAATAGTATAAGCGATAGTTTCGACAGTCGATATTTTTTAGAAGCGAACGAGTAAATAAATAATTTAGAACTATCGAGTAGTTCGATGGTTTTCACTCGGTAGTCAGTAGTGCCCGTCATTATAAAATATATCGCGAGTCCGTCGACGTGGGTGTGCTCGTATTTTTTGTCCCCATCTATTAATTGCGTACGGTTTTGTTTCGTCAAAAAGATGCGCCATCGGCGTCGCGTCGAACACGAAATTCGATCGACCCAAGAAAAAAATGATTAAACAAATTCACTTTCAATTTCGATTTTGCGAAATCTTTCATTTGCGACCAACCGTACACGCGTCATTTTCAGGAGGCGGGACTGACCCGGTGGTATCCACTGACGGTTTAATGACCTTGGTCAAGTTGTTAGCCGGTTCCCGAAAAACTGTCGGACTGTAGGAGACGATGACAAAGAGTCGACTCGTATTAATGTTTGTTCTTCATGCGAATGGAAACATATAACAAACTCGCATTTGAGCACAATATCATAATCGTAAAGAAAAAGGTTATCGGCAAAAATCGAGGCGGGCTGCTATTATCTATGCGGGATAGTGGGCCGAACCCTAACCAGCCCGGCCCTGAATTATTGTGTACGTAATCGTGAAATTTAAAAAAAAAGTTCAAACCGTTTTGCGCGAACTACGGCTACTCGGACTTAGTGGATAAATCATAAAAAATAGAGAACTCGCTCAACTGTCTAGGCATTAGTTTTTCAATATCGCCATTACGAAATAAGATTTAATTCCAGTTTTAATAGTTTAAAACCTCCAAATGTTTGAACAGTAATGGATTTATTATTATTATTGTCATAATATCGAAAAACACGGTGCGTGGTCTCGTTTTTCTACGGTTAAAATTTAATCTCAAGTCTATATAGTCCGAGCAGATATTTCCCGCACGAAACGGCTCGCCCTTTTGAAGTTAATTTTTTCTATCTAGATATACAATTTATCTGAATACTCACTGAAATCCATATTTTTCGTACGGGGCAGCGTACAGTGTAGACAGGAATCTGACAAATCTCTATCGACAACTGAAATTAAAAAAAAAAAAACAAAAAAACACCATTATTAACACATTTATTATTGTGAACAACATTTTATAACGCGCATACCGCCGAACAATTCGCCACACCCCTCCCTACCCCTTATCATTATCAATATTATATTTGAACCATTTTTGTTTACAACGGATATAACGCGATGATATTCTAAAATGTAGACAGGAATCTGACAAATCTCTATCGACAACTGAAATTAAAAAAAAAAAAAAAAAAATCTATCGACACACTTATTCAGTGTAATATTATAGTCGTGTACAATTAGGTGTCTGGTACAAAACGATTTAAAGCTGTCGCGCGACAATATTTCATATTCTAAATAGACAAAAATCCTTATTGCCTTTCATTAGTCTATTTCGTTTTGAATATAGGTTAATCGTATTGTATGACATAGTTTTTAATACCTATCGAGTATTGAATGCAATTTTGGTATAAATAGTAGGTGATTTTTTCGGTAATTGTCGGTAAATTTGAATACCTAACAACAAGCCACGATAATATCGCGTATATAGTTTACAAAATGTCTGCGTTTGTATTTATTAAATTGCTTGAACAAAAAGATGTAAATTAGTCGACGAATGCCGTTCCGGCCGTAATTCTATCGTAAAACAATTTCAAGTGTTGGTGTCTGTATCTGATAAAACGATACTTTTGTATTTCGCATAAAGTTTGAAATGTTTGAACGCAAATTTTACGCAAAGCACATTTTCCCGGTAAATCATTTCTGAAATCTGTTTCTCTCGGTTTCGCACGAGCGCGTCTCTCCGTATCGTTTAATGTTATCGATTTTTTTCTGCACTCAGAATGCCCATGAATCGTAACGCGCCTAGGTAAATTTAAGTAAACGAACGATATTACATTATAGATACGCCTACCGGTAGGCATACCGGTAGGTATATAGTCAAAATAATTTTTGTAAAAAACATAAAGAAAAATGGTTTTTCTTCTTCCTTGTATATCTTCCCCCTCAAAAAAAAAAAAACCTAACGTTATGACCGGGGAGGGTCGGAGAGTTTAATATGTCTATAGATACGAGACGAACGCCCGCATCGGTCTGATACCGTCGAAATTTCTAACCTTTCTTTGCCGCGCGCATACCGTGCACATACCTGCCATGGTTTATCGGTCGCATTGAAACGTTTGCAAAAGAATCCCGTGATGAAATGTTTTTGAGTTATGGCCGTGGCGTTTTATGCGTATATCTACGCGTAATACCACAAACGCCTCGCCGAAAAACCCTGCGCCACTGCTCACGCGCCTAAAAAAAGCGTTCACAACACTTTGATCTTTCCAGACGCGTTCTTCAGGTAGATATAAAAACGGAGCGAAACAAATTTTTTACCACGACGACGACGACGTACGGCAATTTGATAATATAAATTCGTGAAATTCCCGAACATTTAAAAATTCACCTGTTTTTTTTATCTACTTCCTACTCTATAGTCCTCGCTACCTCTCGAATTCAAACTATTATTTTTCGAATAGAGAACATTATATTATCGTTATGATTTGTCAATGAAAATTTAACTGGATTTCGTTATATAACAAACGTTCTTTATTTCTCGTATATTGGACGGACTGAAGAAAATATCACATTTTTCTTTTAAATTTGACGTGTTGACATAATTTCCGGATTTTTTCCCTCTATAATTTTTTTCACTCGCATTTTTTAATATCTTCGATAACGCGGTTCAAATATTCGACTCTGCGAATCACTCGCGTTCTTATCTTCTGCTGCAATGTTCCGAGTTTGATAATAATAACATAATGAACGATACGCCGGCTTCTGCAAGTTCAAAACGACGTAGATGCCGCCGATGATAAAACGGAGTTATTTTTATGTATTCTCTTAACAAAATCCATTTTTAAAACAGCAATAACATTATATTATATAGATACGTACACCTATTTCGAGTTTTCAGTGCGATTAAAATTATTAAGCGCCCGACTACCTAGCTCAATGCGACGCGATTAAGATAAACGAATGATAGGTAAGTGACGATTAACTATATAAAATATTACTATTTATTAAGGGTTGAAAAAATTTACATAGGTGTCTTGTTGTATAGTTAATACAATTTAAATATTATCATTATTGAATATAGGTACATTAACGATGGTAGGATATAGAGAGGAATTTCATTTATATTCTGTACGCAACGAAAAACTATTCGTAATGAAGTTTCTTTTGCACGTGTGTACGTAAATTTTCCCGGTTTTTATTACGAAAACCGCTTGAAAAAACGAAAAAAAAAACGACCCCTCTAATGTAGCAATGAGATAAAATATTCTTTCGGAACAGGTGCTACGCTCGATACATCAGAACGAGATTTCCGGCAAAGGAAGACGCTCATATAAAAAAAAATAAACATCATTGTAAAATCAATTTAGTTCCTCGCTATTACGCTCCGCATCTAAAATAAAATCATATAATAATACGGCGAACAATTTCGATTATCGCGATACTGGACGCAAAATATAAAGGCATACACTTTATAAGATACCGGACAAACTTTCTCGGACGGTGTGCGTGTTCAGTAAGCAACGCTTATATTTCGGAAGGGTTTACAATAATTTATTATCGCGAGACTAACCGTCTATGTTCCTTCTATGTCGAGACTGATTAAAACTATAATTACTAATGAAACTAAATTAATAACTAATTATTATTATTATTACAGTAAACTATAACAATTCGTTTGATAATAAATGTATATCGATTTATCGTAATAAAGTTCGCGTACAAATAAGTTGTTGGAATTCGAACGAAAACGTTATCAAAATCGAGGAGTTAAATGTTGAGCAAAAATTATCTATTGACTTTCAATTTTTCGGTTCGTGTAACAATCCGGTGAGCACGAGTCAGATTGATGGGCGGATACGTTTTGATGGTGTAGTATAACGTACTACGTAATAACTTGTACGTATGTTATAGTAAAAAATCTGTCCTAGGATAATGGGGACGGGTGCAGCCACTATTATTGATGGGAAGTTGGAAAAGTAGGGTACAGATGAGAATTTAATATAAATCTGTAAGCAATGGTTAACCATTGCAACGCAAAAATGATCCTAAACGGAGTTTAGATGATAGTGATGCTTGTTTAATGTTGTACCGATTTTCCAGTTTTTTTTTTACCTATTTTCCCGGTTTTCCTATGTTTTTTCAAATTTTCTGGGAAAACTCTTGAGAAAATCAAAAGCTGACCTTCCTAAAGTATCTCCTCTGTCAAATATTATTATATCTGTGGTCATATGTTAATAATCTCTATGACGACGATACCTTTGTCTTTTATTAACAGTATTCATATTATTTTGTTATTTAAATAATTGTAATTATTATTTTGTTTTAAATAAAAATGATGTACGCAACTCTGATACGTCCAGCCATTGTCTGTTGTGTTTTCGATCTTTATAACTTTTTATAACACTTTTTCATTTTTACCAAGTTTTACTAAATCTTTTCGTTAGATTGGACAAATTATTAATACAAGTCAATAAAATTTACGTGTATCTTCGACAACTCATAAAACTTCATCTATGACGGATAAGGCTCCAGGTAATATTTTATAGTTCATATTTTTTATGATAAAATGGTTTGATGTTTAAAACTGCATCAGATCTTTATTATGCATTATATCTAAATAAAATTAAAGCGTCGGTTTGATTTTTATACGTGTATTAATTAGATTGATCTCGAATTGATTCTCTAAAGAATTTTATGTAGGTGCATACCATTGATTAGTTTTTAATTTTTTCCTAAACATGGTCCTACTCACTTGTAATAAAGCTGAAAGGACGTGTAATTTTTTTTAAAGAAAATACATTTAGATACATTTGTAACTATTTTTATTATAATAGACGAAATTGATGAATTGAAATTGAACACTGAATTATGCTGCGGTGTTTTGTTTAGAATTGCTTTTAATTTTTCTCTAAAAACCGACAAAATAAAAGTGAAAACCGGTGTTTATATAGGTTTCTAAGAAGAAACAGCGTTAATATTATTCATTCATTTTGCCGGTCCCGGAATTGCGCGTGTAATAATAATAATATAGTACAAAATATACAGCTGGGTCTTCCAAGTTTCACGTTACAATCAAATTTTCACGAAACACACATTATTTAAAAAAAAAAAAAATTACAAGTACAAAATCGTTTTGAATTATGTATCCCGTTTCAGGATTGAAACGGTTACCTATTTTCGATTTTCAAATAGCAACGTGTATTGAAAATTCCGCAAATAGACGGAGTAATGTTTTGAATACATTTAGGCGTTTAAATTTTCGATTTCCGTCAATCCATTGACGGGATATTTAACTTTTAGGTACGGATAAGGCGAGAGTAGCGGAGTATAATTTGTATGGCGACACAGCGCGCGGCTTTTTAACAACGTTCCGCTACTTACCCTCTGCCTACACTTTAAAGTGGAATGTCTCGTCAACGGGTTGACAGAAATCAGAAAAGTCAACACCGAAACGCATTAAAACTAATATTCCGTCTATTTACGGATATTTTTTTACACAAGTCGTTTTTCGAAAATCAGTAGTCGGTGGATAAATAATATATGTATACGATTATAAAGTTTTTAAAAGGAGCATATGTCATTTGTTCAAAAACATAAATAATCCGTAGAAAATGTGACCGTAACTCGAAATCCGAAAGGTTTGAATTATTAAAACGCCACGCGCCGTGTAGCCACACAAATAATGTTCCACTCCACTATTCTCCCCCGAGCATAACTCAAAAGTTGAATATCCCGTCAACGGATTGACGGAAATCAAAAATGTCAACACCAAAATGTATTTTCAAATTGTCGAGCTGTTAGTTTCGTAAATATTCTGCAAAACGAATTCCGAAAAAAATTAATACGTTCCGAGATAACGAGTGTCCTGCGATAGATCGATCACCCTGTATAAATATTTATATTTTATAAATTATCGAAATTGTTATCTCGGGGGAGGGGGGGGAGAAGGCAACCTTTTCTGTCGGTACATACTCGAGTCGGTTACGAACGTGTGAAAAATAAAAACGGAACGCGTGTACGACGGCGGCCCGCGTATAATCGGCACGTCATCCGAGGATCGTACGTCACCACGCGTTCAGCCGCGACGAATACCGATCGCGCGATAACGGTTTTTACGCGTTCGGTGTGGCGAGTGCCGTTTGGTCGGGGGGTTTTTCGCGGGTCCGGTACAACCGTACGATTCGGATCCGTACGCGGACCGCCGTGTAATATTCCGACGGCCGCGTTTCGCCCGGCGCGCGTGTTACGCGTTGCTGCCGTCGCGGTGCGCCCGGCAAAGCGAGACCGGGAGACCGGCAGGCACGGATCGACGCGCGCGACGGGCCCGGGGTACCGGGGACGGTCGGGGAGAACACGCGGCGGCGGCGGCGGCGGCGGCGGCGGCGGCGACGGCAGCGGCTGCGACAGAAAGGCGGCGGCCGGGTAAACGGGACGGCGGCGCGCGCGGGCGTCGCGGGCGCCCCGGAGAGCGATGATTTACAAGTGTTCCCGTTTTGACGAAAGGGTTGAGGACGGGAAATTCGCGGCGAAAAGGACCATCAATCAATCCGCCCGCGACATTCAGCAAAAGCCCATTAATCCTTTTTGATCGCAGTCGTGCGTGCAATTTAATTGTTCGCGTAACAAACGACCCGTTTGTCCCTCAACACCGCGGCGGCGACGACGACGGCGACGTTGCGTACACCTCTGCGCCGCGTATCGAGTGTCGCTAATAACACGATAATGTATCGTATACAGAACGGCCGTATACATTATTACGGTCTCCGAAATATTTAACGCGCGTACTGCACCATTATGTACCGGCGATATACCGGCGAAATAACGACGTTTAGTATATGATATCCCGATAGAAAAATGAAAAAAAAAAAAAAATCTACAAGGAAAATCAAAAAACGACCGTCTTAATCCCCGACTATGCAGACTGCCCCGTGAACGCATACCCCTTGAATACCACCAGAGACAATAAAGATAATCAAATTATCTTGGTTTTTTTTTTCTATATTGCTCACAGGGATAAGGACTACAAATATGTATATTTGTATTTATTTTTTTTTTTTATAATTTTAAAAATTACTTTTTATTTTATCGTTTTCGGAAAATTTTAAGATTGGCCATTCGGTAGAATTTATTTAGTTATTTTTTTTAATTTTCTCACACGTTTATATCCGATGGTTATTTTCTAAGTAGAAGCCATTTTTAAATTCTTTTAATCCGTGTAAAAAACGATTTTGTCTAGGTAATGGCCTAACCGCGTTACGCGATAACGTCCTGGGACAGCTTTTATAGAGTAAAGATGCGACGAAAAACTATCTCTAGTACAGAATCGATATATTTAGTAGAAAACATAGTTGACAATAATCAAAAACAATAAACTCGGTAACGGCGGCGCTCCGTAAACATTTGCCGTTTTACCTATAATTTTCCCTCCGCTTTTCACCGGTCGAAGACCCGTTGGGAACATAAAAAAAATTGACGTTCCCGATTCACCGAATAGACACAATTTCGCGCTACACTTTAACACATTGGAGCAGGATCAACGATTAACCACTGTTGACGAAAAATGATTTCGATCGGAGTTCGGTTGCACGTGTTTTGAAAGGCCGTAATATTTACGGTTTAAAGTCAATAATACATTTCGTAAATTTTGTCGTTCTTCCTACGTTCTTTCTCGTTTATTTTGAAAACTCTCGGGAAAATTTAAAATAAACCTACCACCCCAATCTGATTTCCTTTCGGAAATAGTGCTACGCTTGAATATCGAAACGAAATTGCCGGTAAAAGAGTCGTTCACAGAACAAAAAAAAAAATAATAATAATAAACATAACACTGTATAACCAACCTCGCTCCGTTCAAAAACTCTTGAAACGAAATCAAAAATAATAAATTCGTTTTTTCCCGGTTATTAAAAAAAAAACTACGAGAAAATTCGGAATTTTAAATACGATATACTCGTCCATCTCGACGGTTTTTTACTATATGTGGTCGTAAAAACACGTTGCGGTATAACGTTCGTTTGAGTTTAACGACGGTACGATATTATGGCAGTAGCAGTGATTTTTCACCGGTAATTCAAAAATAGTAATCACAGACTACTATAATACACTCCGAACAGCGGCCACCGCTACTTTTAATAACTGTTTTTACTGTTTATTTTTACCGCTACATCGTGACCAAACAACCATATTATACACGCCGTCCCTGCTATATTATTTTCGCTGCTACTTTTTTTTTATAGCGACTGTTATTGTTACCGGAAAAAACAAATCCGTGGTCGGCCGTCTATACATGTATAATTTCGTCACGTGCATTTTATATAAACGCGCAACACTCGCGACGTTCGACGATAATAAATTTAGAGCTCGGTAGTTAACGGAGCTAAAAAAAAGCAAAATATGTATGCAAATATGCACGAAAAAATTCTAAAATATGCATAAAAAAATGTTAAATATGCAAAAACTTATTTAAAAACATATTATAATGGCATTATTAATATGCACAAAAAATATAAAGATTAAATACGAATCGCACCGTTGTCGTTGAATTAACAATACACTGAAACGGTAAGAAACAACAACAAATAATTTCGTTAAATGATATTATTTAAAATAAATCGGTAAGGAAAAAATAAATCCGATTTTTTAGGGCATATTAAATATGCGAAAACCAATAAAAATCGACGAAACGTGCACTTATTCTCCAAAATCAACTAAAATATGGAAAATAACCGTTTTAAACTGTCAATCGTATAGAAAGTACAGTTCTTGCTTGGTCTGCTATAGATTCAGTGCGTACAGAAAAATATGCAACTCCTATAACTCCCGAGCCGTAATTTAATACAAATAAAGAACAAAATATGAACTCCGAACGTCCCGATCGATAACGAACGATATTGTGTATACCCCATACATAATACGTATGTATACATAAGAGTACGAGTACCGCGTAACCGTACTTATTTACAGTGTACACGTTTTCAAAAGCCCGTTGTTCGTTCGATATAGATACGTACTGCATAATATTATAAATATGTCGAACTACGTATTCAAATATACACGTATAGTAATGATAAATAGCGGTCTATGCACGGAGGACCCCGTCGGGACGTATCGCGGGTTAACGGATATTCGCGCGGTTCGATGAGTTCGAACAGACGTTATACCGCGGTTACCTGTTCAATCATGACATGTCGTCTTGAGCGGCCACGTCGGAGATATTATATATATATACGCATAGAAATTAGTGGGGTATTCTTCGAAAAATTTGTCGGTGGCTAACATTTTATTATGTTTTACTATAACGTACATATTAATAATAATAATGATACATTATTTTCTCCTCGAAAAACACTTTTTATGCGGTCGGAAAAAAATGTTCCAAGTTGCTCGCATATTTCGTACCGTAAAAGAAGTCGATTTTTGGCCCCGGAAATTCCACCGATAATACAATAAGGCAACACTACCGATACTTTACCAATTAAACCGGTTTGCCGAACTCCGCTCAGAATCATTTTTTTTTTAATCAATGGTTTATCGATGTTTTCGGTATGTACAAGTATATAATACTCAACGTTGTCCTATACGTTCCCCTCCCCACTCTCCGCCTACGACGCGAAGATTTTCAACCTTATTATTATCGTGTGTATGTGTGTATGTGTTTTGTATTGTGTTTGCAGAATGCACATGAGGAAAGTTGTAATGTGATTTATATATTATATTTTCTACTATATAATAAGGACGAGCGTGTAAGTAAACGAAAAGTCGAATAGAGAACATCGGCACGCGCACGCGCGTAGAAAATCTCATTTTCTCTCGAGTAATTTATATAGGTACGTACATCTCAAGAGCATCACCGGGAGAATTTTTCCCTTATTATTATTATTATTATTATCATCTAATATACGGGAGCATAAAGCAATTATTTCACGTGTCGGATATAGGTACGAGGTTAATTAAAACGATGACCGATTCATCTTGGTCGCGTATCCTCGCGCAGAGCTCGTCCCATACCGTGTATAGGCTTCCTCTGTTTAGAAATTACGACCGAGCTATACGCGTACACGTCGAAAATCAGTTTTCCCCTGCACAATAGGCGTACATATTATATTCTATTGTAATTTATAGCGCTGTGATATTTCGAAAAGTTTTTCGCCTGCGGAGAGATAAAGATTTCACCAACCGTTCCGTACATAAAACCCATATACCAATCTGATATACTAGCAACCTACACGCCGAATTCATAGAAATGTTTTTTTTTTTTCTTTTGTTTTTCTCTATGTATATAATTTGAATAGCAAAAATCGTATACATATAAACCTATTAGCTACATATGTATATATAACAGTTTTTCTGGTTCAGTTTTTTCAGGTTTTAACTATTTAACGGTAAGTATACCGACTACGCACAGTTTAAAAACCATTACACAGACTACACCCGGCGTTGCTGAAATATTCTAATAAAATTCCCTCGCTATACGAACCCCATATAAATTATAATAATATTAACGAATTACGAAAGGTTTACTTTCAGCATATTTTACATAATATTATTCTGTAATTCACGTGAAATAGCGAACATCACGTTTTGACTTTTACTACTTTCAGTTTCTCTATAAATACGGTGCGAATATATGTTATAATTATGCAAAAACCGAAAGGTAAAGCTATTGACCCAACCGACAGAATTCAGTGGCGAGGAACTACGGAATTGGTTTTAAGGTTAAACAAAATTACATAAAACGATTTTAATCACGTTTTATTAATTATCACGGTGATATTAATATCGTTCGTGTTTTGCCAAAATCTATAGTAAACTCGTTAATCCAGATCAAAGATTCCTGTTTTGAATATTAAAATCCGTGAATCCCATACTCCGGAGTTTTGTCTAGCTTTTCAGTTAAAATACCACTTTTTCTCAGCGACTGCAACGGCCTCAAGTAAGGATTTCTAACAGGCTCTTCAGACAGTTTCGAGTCTGTTGTATAGTTGGTTTATTTAATTATAAAAAAAAAACGGTTAATCGGAACAAATTCGTAGGTTACCGATTGATTACCCGGGAACCAGTCCGGTAGTTGGGAACCAACTCATGGGCCAATGACGTAATGAAGTTGCGTTTTTTATTTTAGGATGATACCGAAGTTGGCAGGTTGGGGACGCTCGGTTTACCCCCAAAAATAAGGGTGACAAAAAATAACGTAAATTTAAAATTGTTTCTTAAGTGTTCTAGAAAACTAATTCCGAAAAAATGCGTGTATTATGGTAGATTAATAACTATTGTAGATTTATTATCGAAAAGGATGAAATAAATGTAGTTGTACGCTTCCAACGAAACCGAAACAATTAGCTAGGTATAATAAAATATGTGTGATAACGCAATTTTTTTGAATAGACGTTGAATAATTTATATTGTTTAGTTCATATAAAACTGTAAAACTGTATACCTGACCAACTTAAACTGTGCATATATATATAATTTATAAAGCATCACTTTACTATACACTTTCACGAGACTCGAAACTAATTTATCCGACGTGTTCGGAATAGAAAAGTGCCGGTATAAAAAAAAAATAGTCTCTAGAGAAATGTTATAGTCCGGAAGTCGGACTTGAGGTTTATTTTTTTTTTTTTATATTCCGTCTCTACGGGACTCCGCGCTCGTAGTATTTTATTGTTTGAAAAGGAAAAGTTATCATAAAAAAAAAAAATATATATATAGTTAATATAAATTGTACACAAAGGTGAATTTAAATTATCTCGGTGACGATATTTGTTGTCGGTTCGTTTGCATATTAAAATAAGTTTTTACAAAAAAAAAATCATGGGAAAAAAACCATCCGACAAATAACGACAACCGGAAACGCGATCCTAGCGTATAGAATTAATAAAAATATAAAGTTTATTATTCTTATAATTATGTTTTAAGTGTTAAAAACTTATTGTTTTGTAACTTTGTTTCATACTCGAAACACGAGCGATATACTTTGATGAGCTTTTACTCATACTTTAAAAGTTATTAACATAATTCTAAAAAAAAAAAAAAAAAAAAATAAACATTGTTGTAAAATGAATACATCCGTCGCTTCGTTCATAATCTAAAATTAAATTATGAACT